CTAGGGCCACTTCAAACTCTGAAGGGTCAAAAATGAAAGAAAGGTTATTGCTAAATTTGATGTCATTACCTGTTAAACTAATGATGTCTGGGAAGTATATGAAAGATTGCACTCATATCCATTTTTACTGTGAATGATAGATGTGTTCATAAAAGCTCACAACTGAAACAATAACTTTAAGGGATAATGTAGCCACCAGGATAGGACTCTCCTGTAATACCATACAACCCCAAAGTATTACAATAAAGGCTTATTTCTTGTTCATGCAAAATCTAATGCAGTTGAATGGCTCTCTTCCATCTTGTAGTCAGGTCTTAACACACAATCAATTCCAAGTCTGGGGAAGATAAAAAGCAAATGGGTGTCTGATAAGCAAAGTCTCTGCTATAGACGCAGATGAATATTCTTATTAATGCTGGATAGAACCTAACCATTCCGATTATGCATAATCTTAAAAATCACTTTGATGAACGGTGGAAAATGGAGAATAACTATAGTTTAAGGATTCTTTTCCGTACATCAGATTTTCTCTCATTCATATTTTCTTCAAAAGTAAGTTTCTAAAGAGAACAGTTAAGTGATGTTTTCTTCAGGATTTTGAATGAGATCTTGCTGATATGAATTTATCATAAAAAAAAAAAAGAAGTTGGGGGAGGAAAATCACGAGCTGGCAGGCACAGAATCAGGGTCTGTGATCTTTGCCGGTTGCCGTCAGTTAACTGGAGTTTGCTCGTATACTGGGTTAGTGTCCCCTCAAATTCACGTCCCCCTAGAATCTCAGAATGTCATTTTTTTGGAAATAGGTTTTTTTTGCAACTATAACTAGTGAAGCTAAAATGAGATCATACTGGATTAAAGTGTGCCCTAAGCCCAGTGACTAGGGTCTTTTTTCTTGTTTTCCCTGAGACAGGGTTTCACTCTGTCACCCAGGATGGAGTGCAGTGGTGCAACCTCAGCTCACTGCAGCATCAACCTCCCAGGCTAAATGGATCCTCCCACCTCAGCCTCCCAAGGAGCTTGGACTACAGGCATGTGCCACTATGCCTGGCTAATTTTTAATTTTTTGTAGAGAAAGAGTCTCACTACGTTGCCCAGGCTGGTATCAAATTCCTGGGCTCAAGCAGTCCTCCAGCCTCAGCCTCCCAGAGTGTTGGAATTACAGGTATGAGCCTGCTCTCAGTCACATCCTTTTCTTCAGTCCCTATCCCAGGCACCTCCCCAGGTCCCGACTGGTGCATAGCCTGGAAGACTGCGTCCTTTTTATACAGAAACTCACACTAACACCTGTTGTGAGTTTCTGTATAAAAAACCCATTGCCCCCTTGTTGCATGTTCCTCAAGATCATCCAGTATCTAGATCAGGAGTCAGCAAACTTTTTACGTAAAGAACCACAGAGCAAATATTTTAGGCTTTGTGGCCTGGATCATCCTTGTTATAACGACTCAATTCAGCCATTGCAGCATAAAAGCAGCCACAGACAGTATGCAAATGAATGAGCGTTATTCCAGCGGCTCTGCCAAGCATTTCAGAAATTCTAGTAAACATGCACCCATCTGGAGAAGGCAACTCAAGCTGCAACTCATTCTGCAGGAGACCCAGAAGATGCTTGATCAAAGTGCAGCTTGATGGGGTGGAAAGGTAGGGATTCACAGATCCCAACTGCTCACCCTCATCAGACGAAGTAGCTGGCAGAAGCAATGAGCTGTAGTTCTATTATTCCAACACAGAAATCACCCCCGTTCAAGAGCCTGTTATTCACAGGAGTGGGGGCAGCATACCTGAGCAGAATGGTTCCCTTGCATCTTGATTCAGTTGATTGGATTTTCTATCTTCTTTTTTCTTTCCCTTTTGTTTTTATTATAGAAGTAATTTCAAGCCAACTTGGTTAATTAGGCAGAGCATTTCCTAGAGGAGCACAAGGCAGCCACCACGTGGAAGGTGAAGCCCTGCAGAAGCTGCTGCTGGGTGTGGCTGCAGGCAGTAAGGGAGGATGGCCATCCGAACTGCATTCAGGGAGCTATACTTGATAGTTCAGGAGGCCATAGTGTGGGTTTGCTTTTCCACTGCCCCCTGGTCTTTCTCCTGTACTTGCAGTAACTTGAGATGAAGCCTCTACCTTATACTCTAAGACTAGAATTCAGGTTGCTGTTTCGTTCCGTACGCGTGGTCTCCAGTCCAGCATGCTTGCATTAAAGGGTGGTGTCCTGCCACGGTCTTCACAGCCTATCCTTTCCTAGAACCCAGGACTGCAGCAGGCCTTGCTACCATCTGCCAGGCTCTCCCAACACCAGCACACTGTCGGTTCATCTGCATGCTCCCTGGGCCCAGAGCCTCTGATGCTGGTGCCATCTTCCTATCGGGCTTTCAACCCTTAACCGGGGACACCCCCACAAAGACTACTCCTGCTGTTGGGACTCAGAAAACAATATCTCAAAATGAAGGCCTGAGCAACAGCTTCAGAAGTGAAGTTTTTCTCTGACATTCTCCTACCCTCCTGTCTCCCTGTTCCATTCTCCCCCAAGGCTAGCCTGGAAACCTGCTTCTCCAAGGCAGGTCATAGAAACCATAACCCCCTATTCCCCAAAGCCAGCCATAAAATCCTAAAAACTATTACTCTAATTTTCCCCTCACTCCCCTCACCTTTCTGTGTAAAAACTGACCAGAAAGAAATTATCTGATCAACCGTATTGGAGAGTAGGACATTAGACCCCCTTTCCCGAGAGGGTCCTGCCCCACACCCAGAAGTTAGGAGTGCTGCTCAGAGAGACCAAAAAGACTCTTGATAGACAGGCCTTGCTGGGTATCCCTACTCTGTCCAACAGCGTTAGATCATTCCCTTTTTGTGCTGTCATATTTCTACATGGCTGCCCTTACTTTGCTGAAGTAACCATAAAAATGGCCAATTTCTACTGCATTTGGGTCTTCATTCTGAAGGCTGTCATGTATACATATCGCATACATTTGCATGTCTTTTCTCCTATTAACCAATCTGCCTCATGTCTGACTACTTGCTCCCTCTAGTAGGAGGCCTTGCTTTCTCTGCTCCCCGCCAACAGTTGGGTTGACACCAACCCAAGCCAGGAGCCAGTTTAGCTTCCTAGGCCCTCTGATCTGTCTGGTGCTGCCACTTTCCAAGATCATTTCTGCTCAAAGCAGCTTCAGAGTGGAATGGATGGGAGGGCACACTGCAGAAGGGGGTATGAGCTGGGTGTGAAGGGGGTACTGGCACAAGGCAGGACCAACCTGAGCCATAGCTTTTGGTGCACCACACCCTATTCATTCCCTTCTTGCCTATCCAGCAACCTGGTTTCTGCAACAGGGAGGGCTGAGCCAGTCCCATGAACAGCCAAGACTAAGCCATCAAGTAAAGGCTGCACTTTGTTTTTTCCTTTTCCTGTGGAATATATTGATGACGGCTAACAAATTACCCTCAAGTTCCATTTCCCAGGTCTGAGGGTGTTTGAATTCAGGAAAACAACTGGATGCTCTGTTGTCTTGAAATTGTATTTAAATTCATGAAGAACTAGTTTTACCATGTGGCGACTTTTTTTTTTTTTTTTTGCAGAAAGAATAACTCTCCCATTTGCTAATTGATGTGATAAGCAAACACACACCTTCTCCTCTTCCATCATTACCTCCAAAATTTAAGTTAACAGAAATATTCTGCTTCAACAGAGAGAACAAATGGGCTGGTTATTAATTCATGGAAAACAGGTAAAAATTTTCCAGTGACTTTTTTTGAGATGTCTATTTTAAGAGATTTGATGGGGAGTAGGTTACAAGATGAATATGCAACCTTTAAGGGAGCAAGAATCAGGAGTTTCAATTGACTGGCTGCTTGTCAAAGGTTGATACACAACCTGTGCTCCCAAACATACAGAGTTTGTCTCCAGATTTCATGTGTTTTGCAACCTCATCCTATGCCTGAATGTCACAGCCACCTTTAAAAAAAAATGTTGTTTAAACTAACTAGAAAAATATAGTAAAATGATTCCTTGCGATTCTCTAAGTAAAAGAATACATTTTTCTTAAGAAAAACAGTGGTAAGAATAAAAGCCAAGCATTGTTTCAGACTCTCTCCAGTTTCCAAAACACCATTTACAAAATAATTACACCTACAGTTTATGCATGATTCATTAGACAGCAGATAAAATGTACTGCTAAATTTTAATTGCGTGGAAAGAGTAGGCACCATGAAATATGCCCCCAACTTCTCTGGATTATAACCTGTTCGGTCACGTTTCTGCCACAACATAAATCTTGTCCAAATAGTTTATCTTGATTACATTATAAGAGTATTTTAGTTTCATGATGTGATAGACGGCCGAAGAATTTATTTTAGTTAAGCAACTAGAAGGTCAAATCATCAGTTTTCAATATTTAAGGTTTTACTTGTGAAAGTTAATAGGCTTGAATCACAGGATCGTCTGCAAGATGAATCACAGGGTCCCCTGCAAAGATGCTGAGAATGTAATCTCAGAAAAAAAAAAAAAAATCAGTTCTTGGCACACTAAAGTAGTTTTAAAGATTACAGTTTTCCTTTCCTTTCCTCCCACCTTCCCCTGCCAAGGTAAAAAAGGGATGATGTCCTGCATTATACAGACATTGGTAGGGGACCTCTCTATTACACATAACACAGCATGCGTGATCCACTCTAATTGCAGACGGAATCTAGAAAACAGAATAGATATCACATCTTATATAATACACAGTAGGCATGATAGACAACATCTTGCAGAACACACACAGCTCTTCAGCAGATGCAAGCTGCTGCAATACTTCATCAGAAGGAGCCAGGGTGATAGAATGAGCACCTGAAATGGTATTTAGGGGTCTTACGACAGCCAGGTCTGCTGAGCTCAGCCACCCTAAAGGCTTTGAGTGACATCTACCATTAGGCTCTGGTTCTGACAACTGCCTGTGAAGGAGGAGCATGATCCGCATGACAGGCCAGCACTTGGTTTTCAGGGTCTCCCCGCGATCACTGTTCCTGCACGTACCTGTGGTCTTTAATGGGGTCTTCTCTCCTAGCAAGAGTTTTAACCTCTTGGCGTGGATTTTGCCTTGATAATGGGAATCGGCCACCACCGCTGAAGTGAATGACATGTTGCAGAGTGTGCAGCACTTGTTCTTATCCACCATGTCGGCATCACTTCCCTGCGCGGGGAGAAAGAAAGGCCACGTTTGAGAGAGACCCATTCCATTCTTTTACAAATGAGGCTTATCCCAGATGAACTAGTGTATTGATACATCTAGTTTTTGTTCTGCAATCTCTCTCTCTCTCTCTCTTTTTGCCTTGCTTTCTACTCATCTTCTTTTTAATTTTTTTTTAATACTTTAAGTTCTGGGATACATGTGCAGAATGTGCAGGTTTGTTACATAGGTATACATGTGCCATGGTGGTTTGCTGCACCCATCAACCCATCATCTACATTAGGTATTTCTCCTAATGCTATCCCTCCTCTAGCCCCCCACCCGCTGACAGGCCCCAGTACAATCTCTTTTTCTTCATGATAATCATGATCAAAACTTACTCAGTGACTGACTTTGACATACAGTTAGTCAGTAGCTATTAACGCCAGATACTGGGATTTCAGGACAAATTTGTGGAGATGAGTTATCCAAATAAAAACGGAGCCCACAATTAAGAGAGAGCATATTGAGTCTGGCACAGTAAAGGGAAGCAGTCTCTAATTGGACCCATTATACTCATTAAAGTCAGTAAAATATCAGAGTTCAGATAGCCTGAATTATTTAGCAGAAATTATCATTTATTATTCTGCTCTGCTTTTGACCAATTTTAGCCTCACCAGGATACATGGCCACGATGTTCAAGATTTTTAAAGATTTCTTTAAGGAATTGAGTGTTTTTCATAATTAACTCGATTCTGTATCATAAAGCTATGATGACTATGCTGGCTGGATTTTCTGGGAGAGTTTGTGTAATTTTCCTTTTCTTCAGGAAAGGTGATTCATTAAATGCTGCACAAAATGCTTAAATCCAGCTGGAATTTTATTCCTTTGTAAGGCTTAAAGAAAATGAACCATAATTCAGAAAAAAATAAAACCTTGGTCAGAGCCTGTGACCCGCTATTGTGCGCGCAGGTCATCAGTTACCTATACTTATGAAGGGGAGAGTAATCCATTGCTTCCCCTCCTGCTTAGTTAGAAACGGAGGGTAGAACAGACTTTTAGATAAGAAGTTAATCTGTTCCTTAAGGGTGCAGCAATAGCCAAGCATCTCTTTGCTAAAGAGCCAGCTGCAATGAGTATATGGCCCCACAATGGCCCCTTCTCTTATTCCTAGTGAGCCCAGAGAGTACAATTTACAATTGGATGGTGAGGAGGATGAAGGTGGCACTGGCTGGAAGAAGGGAATTACATAGTTTATCTGCGGAGTAATAAGATGTCCAGACTGCTAGAGAGAGTGTTGCCTTACAAATTATGTGGTTGTTTGGAAATGAACTCCTTCCTCCTTAAGGCATTAGTCTGTAATATCTCTGATAATCAGCATTTCATCCTTGGAAGGAAGAGGGGTGTGTGTGTCCCAGGAGCAGGAGGCTGACCTGAAGTTCAGGGAGAGACTCCAAACATTGGTGCTGGGATGGAGGTGGTCAGTGAGTGGAAAAGGACCACTAGAGAGAGGTGGAGCTTTCCCAGTGGGTCCTCTCCGGCTAGGAAATCTAGTATCCCTGAGGTTGTGCCCTTTGGCAATACTCTTGCTAAGAGTTTAAAGCCAAAGTGCTTTAAGTTTTCTCCATAGAGAAAAAAAAAACCCAAAAAAGTATGAATACTTTTACATCTGTGTGGAATACTATGGAGATGAAATGGACCTGGAGGGAAGGGGTAGGGTTGGCTTCCTGGGCCCCTGAGCTACCTACCTCCCCTGTCAAGCCTAGGAGATGGCATGGAAGCCAGGGAGATGGCATAGACCAGGATCACCAGGAAGAGGCAAATCAGGGAGTTCCTGAAGGGTTCCAGTCCATTAAATGAGGAGTAGATCATGTAAGAGGAATGAAAGACCAAACTTGGTGTCTCTTTACTACATGCTAGAGGATATATATTAGTCTCACTTTTTACAATTTGTATACATTTGAGGGGTACAAGTGCAGTTTTATGACACGGATATATTGCAGAGCAGTGAAGTCTAGGCTATTAGCATAACAAAGAACTAAAAGTAGAACTACCATTTGATCCAAAAATCCCACTAATGGGTATCTACCCAAAGGAAAAAAAATCATTGTGTTAAAAAGATAACTTCACTCTTATGTTTATTGCAGCACTATTCATAATAGCAAAGATACTGAATCAACATAAGTGACCATCAATAGATGATTGGATAAAGAAAATGTAAATATATATATACACACACACACACACACACACACACACACACACACCATGGAATACTACTCAGTCATAAAAAAGAATGAAATCAAGTCTCATCCTTTTTTAAAAAGGAAGATTATCAGGGTGAAAGTGGGTGCTTGAATTATACCATTTTTTCTACCTACTTATACATGACATAGGTCAAAGAGTGTAATTTTTTAAAATTAGGAATAAGTTCATAAGCCAGAGCTTAATTCTCAGCCTTAGAACCTGTGTATCTGTTCATCTGTGCATTCTCTTTAGAATCTGTGCATCTGTTTCGCCACTTCCAATGGAAACTCCAGCCATGCCTGGCCTTTCTCCCTGAAGCTCTAACAGCTAGAAATGTCTAAAGAAAATCCAGGGGCCCAGAGATAGAGGCCAGCATCACCACACGAAATGACTGAGAACTAGTTTCCAGGGCAAAGAGTTGCCCTTAATGAATGAAAAATGGATTTATGGTATTCATTTACCCAACACATTTTTAAGGACCTACTAATTGTGTTAGATGCTGTGGTAGATGAATATGACTCCATGCCCTGTTATCAAGGAGGCTGGCACCAGGAGAATTGGAGAAGCAGACAGAAAATAAGGGGAAGTATTATAATCAAAGAACTAGAGTCTCATATTGGACTCACATTCTCCTAATTGTAAGATTAAAAAAAAGTAATGTAAATCAGGACTGTCTATATGGGTTTTCATCTTTAAGCCTTTCTTAAAGGAAATGCTGGAATGCCCTTCTGAATCACTCCATGTCTAAATCAGTTGTACTAGAATCTTTCTTCCTGGCTCATCTCATCACTTCCTTGAGGTGAAGCTGTTTTTTTTTTCTTCCTTCTTTTTTTTTTTTTTTTTTTTTTTTTTGCTACAGGGTCTTGCTCTGTCACTCAGGCTGGAGTGCAGTGGTGCCATCATAGCTCACTGCAGCCTGGAATTCCTTGGGTTCAAGCAATCTTTTCACGTCAACCTCCAGAGTAGCTAGGATCACAGACACATGCCACCACACCTGGATAATACTTTTTTATTGTTTGCAGAGAAAGAATGTCTACAACCTGTTTTCCGGGCTGGCCTTGAACTCCTAGGCTAAAGCAATGCTCCTGCCTTGGCCTCCCAAAGTGCTGGGATTGCAGGAGTGAGCCACTGCACCAACCGAAAACCACTTCTGGCTCCCTCTACTGTCTGGGAGAAGTGAGAACCAGTCTTTGGGTCTCCTGGGTGCCTTGTATATTCTTTTACAGAACATGGAATTACTGTACTTACTTGTTTTCATATTAGTCCACCTCATGAGAGGGTAAAACTTCTTTAAGGTCTAGGAAATTGTCTCACTGATAGTGAGGAGCCAGCACCTAGCACCTTTACCACACTGGAGGACCTTCAAATGTGTACTGAATCAATGGAACAGAGGGTTCGTTTGTGGGATTAGTAACTTGTGTGACATAAAAGTCAAAAGAGGAGACAGGTAACACAGGGAGGTCTATGGCAACCCAACATTTTTCCAACTGACAGAAAGATGTCCAGGTAAAGAACCAGAGATGACAACAATTTATACACTAACTTGAGGGTTCAGTAGGGAAATATGTTAGTTTTGCAATGGTAGTTTTAATATATGTATTCCTAGACTTCTGCTTTCCTGGACAATCTCATTATCATATAGAAAAATAAAAAATAATAGAAGAAGAAAACCAATTGTTATAGAATAATGTATCATGGGATATAGTTATGCCATAGTTGTACGAGAGGGACCAGGCAATTTTAGGTACCTGATAATAGAGGGGCTGTGAGGCCCTGAAAAGTTAGGCAGCCTTTCATGCCAACAGTACACACTTACTGAGATACTTTATAAAAGGTGCCAGTTATTCACATAGTGCAATTTTAAGCGCCACTAACACTAACTGCTCTAATGACACTGATGGATACACAACTATGCAGAATTTTTTTTCTTTTTTTTTGAGATGAAGTCTCACTCTGTCTCCCAGGCTGGAGTGCAGTGGTGCAGTCTCGGCTTACTGCAACCTCTGCCTCCTGGATTCCAGTGATTCTTCCACCTCAGCCTCCTGAGTAGCTGGGATTACAAGCATACACCCTATGTCTGGCTAATTTTTCGTATTTTTAGTAGAGATAGCCACCATATTGGCCAGGCTGGTCTCGAACTCCTGACCTGAAGTGAACTGCCCACCTTGGCCTCCCAAAGTGCTGGGATTACAGGTATGAGCCACCAACGCCCAGCCAACGATGCAGAATTTTAATTGCATATTCTTAGCTACCAGAATCCCAAATTAATGGCTCTTTGCAACTCTAGATTATATCATCTGCTATGGTTTGAATGTGTTGGAAACTTAACCCCCAACACAACAGTGTTGAGCAGTGGGACCGTTAAGAGGTCTGAGCTGTCATGAATGGATTCATGCTGTTACAGAGAGAGTGAGTTTGTTATCAAGAGAGTGGGATTGCTGTTCAACCCTCACTTCCTCTCGGTCACCATGTAATGCCCTCCACCGTGTTATGACACAGCAAGAAAACCCTCACCAGATGCAACCCCTCTGTCTTAGACTTCCCAGCCTCCAGAACCATGAGCTAAATACATTTATATTCATCATGAATTACTCAGGCTGTGGTGCTCTGTTATAGTAGCACAAAAAGAACTAAGACATCACTTTCATTAGAGTGTCTTGCTGCATCCAGAGCAAGGTTGATATATGAACCAGGGTAGAAACTCCATAAAGTTTGATGAATTGACCTCAGTGAATATATTTAAAATTTCTGGCTTTAAGATTATCTTTAAAATATGA